ATTTAGACAATGTTTTGAAAAATGGAATAAAAGACTAGACAAGTGTATTAGTGTAAGTGGAGAGTACTTTGAAGGGGATTGAAGGTTTGTGCTTAAAATTTGAATAAATAAGTTTAAAAAAAAAAGTTCGGTTTCTTTTGGGTACCCCCTCATATATATCTTTTAAAATGGGACAGTCTGTGGGCATTCTCCTTGGAGTTTTTTCCCCCTTTTGTTTCTTTCCTTTATGGGGGAGGGGGTTTATCTCAGTTACTACATTATTAAAATATTAATTAGGAAGTGAATTTTATGGATGGTTATTTTAAAGTTTTCCTTTATTTGCTCCATGCATATTCAGTAGATTAAATTTTCAGAATGCTAGTTTTATTTCTTAAATCCTAGAAATCATTTAGAAACTCATTTACAAACTGTCACCCCTGATAATGTCTTGTGAAGTTTCTGATTGTCTTTAGTACTTGATATATGTTTTTTATAGTAGTAGTATACATTTTAGAATTGCTTGGTTGAGCAGCACCTCAAATTTGGTGTCATAGCAGTACCTTAGAATAGAAGTTTTGTATTGTGCTTAATTTCATATCCAAAAAAAAAAAAATTGCACTTCTGTCTGATTGTAACATTTTGGATGTAAGCTTTTGATGCAATTTCATTCTCTTCTACTTTTGATTAATTAGTTTTCCCTGCTCTTGAACCACTTCAGTTCTTAAAGTTACACTTGATAGTGGCTTGTTTTCTGTAGAAATCATAAATATCATATTCTGTATGGTAGTTCACCTTATCCATGGTTCATAAGATTAGATAATTGCAAGATTGGCCATTTTCATGATTCTTCAGCAGTACCTTGAAAGATTGGCCTGCAGTAAGATTATGTGAAATCTGACAGAATCCCATATAGGTAATGTGTCACTTCTGTTGTCTGTTATCAAATGGGATTCAGCCCGTATTGTCTTAATGCACACCACCAGTGGTGGGTAGAGACTTGTGAGGAATTTATGTGTATATACATTTTTATAAATAGGACCTCAGGTAGTGTAGTCAGTATAGCATCTGGCTATGGGCTGGATGACTGAGAGGTCGGAGTTCGAGTCCTGGTAGTGTCAAAAATTTTCTCTTCTCCATATCGTCCAGACCGGCTCTGTGATCCACCCAGCCTACTATCCAATGGGTACTGGGGGCTCTTACCCCGGGGGTAAAGCAGCAGGGGTGTGAAGCTGACCACTTACCTCCAGCTAGTGCCGAGTTAAAAAAAAATGTGAATCTATGCATCCTCTCCCCCATACGCCCTCATGGCATATTGCTTAATTTGTTGAGTACAAGGACAACTTACATTTAATAAATGTCTTGTGTTTGCTAATAAGGAAGACAGAATGGTTTTAATGTTTGTAAATAGATATATTTTACTTCAAGGCTATAAAAGGGTAGTTTATGCTTATAAAATTCATTACTTCTCACTGCCTTGTCCACTGACATCATTTTAGTATTTGCATGATTTGAAATTAAAGAGAAGTTGCACAGACAGAGCTTTAAAATTTTTTTCTAATGTTCTGTATGTTCTACCATTCGCCCCACACCAGCAATTAATACCTATGGCAGTTACTGTATTACAAAATTAAGTTGTTTGTATATCCATTATGTAAAATGTTGATTGTGAATTGTTGTACTAAAGGAACTCTGTGTAGTAGTCATGGCAGTTTTAAGATCTGAGGTATTGCTCTGACATTTGTTGACAGTAATGTAGTGGTGATTATTGTGATGTTTCCTTCCCTGTATCTTGTCCTGTATGCCTGCCTGATTATGTGTTGTGTTATTGTCTTGATTCAGTAGCTGTTGTTGAGTCCTCCCCCCCTGCAGACGGGCCGCCTGCTACACACATTCTCAATGAGGTTAGAACCTAATTTCTTACCATTTGGCCGCTTGCTCATGCTTCTGGGTGTTACAACCTCTTATTTCTCTTCCCTCTCAAATGGCTGGCTTTTATCATCTAACTACATTTATTTACTTAATTGTACTCATTTTATATGTCAAAAAATAGCTTCCGTGGGCTTTTATGCTTGATGGTTTTAGTTTCAGGAACTTTATGCCCTCTGATTTCACTTATATGATGATGTTCGTCATCCAGGCAGGTTTCATGCAACAAATGTGATAGCAGAATGTTGTTTAGTCGGTTAAATGATACATTTGATTTAGTGGTCCAGTTATTTGAAAGGTATGAATGGAAAAAGCAGAATAGGTGTAGGCCCCTCTGAGGTTTTATTTTGAACAATTAATGTAGAGCCCATGATAGTAAACAATGGTTTCCACTTCAGAGAGTCATGCAGTTGCAGTGTTGGTGCTCTTCAACAAATGAAAATTCCTTATAAGCTTTTTATACGTTTGATATATCTGTTCTAAATTCCAAATGAGCAGCTGTAATGGTTCATAATTCAGCATCAGGGTTTGAGGCCATTGCCACATTCGTTGTATAAATATGCTGAAACACTTTTCACATGCACTGTAAGTTGCTGTTACAAAACCGAAAATATTGTCATTAGTTTTAATTTTCATTGTAGAAATAAAGGCTGTAATAGAAGTTCACTGCTTCTAAGAGTAAATGCCATACACATGTTTGAAAATATACAGGTACATTGAAGAGTATGAATGGTGTTTCCATCTTAGAAGTTGGTGGTGGGTCATCTTGTTAGAACCTTTAAAAGGCAAAGGTTATAAAATTAGACATTAGGATTTGATGGTCAGTTCATAGGATGTAAAATGGCCAAATATCAACTATAGAGATTATTTCAGTACTGGCTGATGTTAATGTGACTTTAAGTGGCATATACCCCAATTCCCATTTCAACATTCTTCTATACAATTGTAAACTACCTGTTTGTAGCAAATGAAAAATTGATATTTGTAAAAACATTCCTTTTCTCTGCGTATATTAGTAGGGTTTGTAATTAACTTGAAATATAATGTATTTTATTATAGGAAGAGTTCAGGAAAGAAAATTAACGTATCATAAAATCACTGATTCTGGCTTGATTGTGACAGACCCAACTTTAATTGTAGACTGGATGTATTTTTAAATATTGACACAGTGTGTCCTGGCTTCACTTTCTGTCAGGATTCTGGGGTAATGTTTTTGTTTCCTTTTTTCACGCTTGCCTCATCTTGATTCAACCAGTTGCCGTGAGTAAGTATCCCGTTCACTTGCTTGTCTCCTCTCTTACCCACACTTTACAAAAGTGGAAGTGTTTTAGCTTTTGTAATAGCATGTGTGCAGTGGGATTTTGTGTGATTACAATCAGTTTCTCCAAGCAGTTTGTCACTTCTATAGCCCTTATAGCAGAAGCATGTAATATTAGAACTTACAAATGAGCAAATGTGTCGTCAAATTCCCCTGCAAGTATGTATATTTGTCCGAAATCAGTATTTTATTAAATTTTTTTTTCATATTGTGATGGACAGTCGAGATAAATGTCAGCATGCTTATATAATAGAAAAGTTCTGATGTTAGACTTATAGTGTGTTTAAATTCACTTTAATCCCCAGTATTCACAGGTTTTGTATTCTGATTGCTGTGACAAAAAGAAGACATTTTTTCGCTTAGTGTGGGGGTGGAGTCCAGCTGGGTCTGCTCGGCACAGCGGCCACTCATTGGCCTATTGTACCTGCCCTGGGTGATTATGATGATGGAGAATTTGGTGGAATGAAGATTGGCAGGGGAAACTGAAGTACTCGGAGAAAACCTGCCCCAGCGCCACTTTGTCCACCACAAATCTCACTTGACCAGACCTGGGATGGAACCTGGGCTGCCTCAGTGGGAAGCCAGCGACTAACCGCTTGAGCTATGGCGCGGCCCAAAAGAAGACATCAATATGAACATTGAAACGTGATTTTAATGATTTTTACCATTATATGAACCTTCCTCACAGTTCCATGAAACACCTTAGTATAGGAGCAGTGGTAATTATCACAAATTGTCCTGTTTGTAAGATGAAATATATCTGTAATGTACACTTCTACTTATGTTCTTCTTTACAAGCTTAACTGCACATTATTACAGAAATGTTGAGTGTATGTAAATCAACATGTCAGTTTTGGTGTCAGTATAAGAATTGTAAATATTAAATCAAGTAGGGATGTTGTTGTGCTTGGTGTTTGCTCCTGAGCAAACTGAGGAATGCATACTGAACTCTGCTTAAAGTGTTTTACTAGTCATAAAAATAAAAGTTACAGAACAGTCTAGAATACAGTTTCAGGTAAAATTGAAGGACAGTCAGCTTACAGAATGTACATACTTAAATTGATACTGCCACGTCAATGGTCAGAAATTAAGTGACCTATAAGGCTGTGCCATAGCTCAAGCGGTTAGTCACTGGCTTCCCACCATGGTGGCCCGGGTTCAATCCCGGGTCTGGTCAAGTGGGATTTATGGTGGACAAAGTGGCGCTGGGGCAGGTTTTCTCATAGTACTTCAGTTTCCCCTGCCAATCTTCATTCCACCAATTGCTCCACAATCACCCTCACCTATCTGGGGATGGTACAATAGGCCAGAAGTGGCCACAGTACAAAGGACTTAGTCCCACCCCACTAGCAATAAAAAAAGAAGTGACCTATAAGAACCATGATGGATACTGACGTTTTGGAGGGACATGCTGCCTCCATCTTCAAGGCCAACACCAAAGATTGAGGCACTATTTTTTTTCTGAAAGAATAACAACCCAGAAGACCACAATTTGAACAGTCATTGTCATGAAAATCTTGAAATTTACATGGACTGTAACAGCTTTTATGTTTCCTGTCAGATTAAAAAGCATGCCAAGATGGTGTCCTGGCACCACCCTAACTTGACTACAGCCCTCATAAATCTTTTACTTCTCTAGTGTGGCCACAACATAAATGCTTAATATTGTTTATGTCTGTGTGTGTGTGCCTACATACAAATTTAACTGAAATTTGTGAAACTTGCATTTTCTGTATAATAAGATGAAGTAACTCTTTCTAGATTAGTTCGCGCAAGGCACCGCTAGCCAAGATGGAAGACCTTGAGATGGAGCCATCGATTACAGCAGCTGTGACGGCTGATGTGTGACAGGCCTACCTCTGTGTAATGGATTCCTCCCACCTTTTCAGTTTGTGGCATCATTGTAGAGGGCACAGAACGCTTCCTTCCATTTTATTCATTGTGAATGCCATACCCAGTCCTTCCCAAACAGTACTGATGCTGTACTGTGCCCAGCTTGATGTAGGTAATGGTTTTGTTATCATTACTGAAATGGGTATGTTGCTGTTGCATACATTGTATTTATTTGAACATTCCATTCTTTTAATGAACAGTGACTATGAAGTTATTTCTGTTAATTTTTATGTTCCAGAGCAGCTTAATTTTAAAAATAATTTGCCAAATCGCTACTGTGCATGATATGGCTCTCGCTAAACCTAAACTTACCTAGAGCTTTTTTTGCTGGTAGGGAAGGGAATAGGTAATTTTTACTGATGAAGGCAGCAGATACCTTTGTAAAATATTAAGAAAACAGTATTTTTTTTTTGTATTTAGTAATGGATGCTATATATATTTTTTAATGCATAGAATTTTATTTGTGCAAGTTTTATGACTTTTTATATAAGGCAAAGTTCTTATCGGTTCACACTGTTACCATGTTATGGTACAGATTTGGTTACTGAAATTTTTAAATTTCTTAAATGCCATAGATTCTTCAGTTTGAGAAAACGTGGGAATTTTGGTGAAGGTTGATTTTTAAACAGAAATATTGCATACCTTTTCATACGTATAAGTGTATGACTGCAAGTCTGTGTGTCTATATGTATAAGTATGTGCAAGAATGTGTGTTGAAAGTGATTTCATGTGATCACTTTCCTGAAGTTTATATTTTACATTTTCCTAAATGCTGTAATTTTTTATTCTGAAATGTTTGTGCCAGGCATGTTGTTCTCTTTTCTGTTGTTCTTCAGTTATATTTTATTGAACTGGCCATTGTAGAGTGTATATTAGTATACAGTAAACATGTGAACTGTAAAAGCATCACTTCCAATTGATCCATTGAAAGAAATGGAAATAAAGATTTTTTCTTTTTTATATAATTTATGATTTATTCACAGTATCCATGTGATTAACAACTTAATGGAAATTATTTTTCCAGGGGTACTCCCTTTAAATTAATGTTAAGTTCTGATTACCACCACATATACCTTTGTAGGTACTGCCTTCCCCCCCATCGCCCCTTTTCCAATAACATTCCAATTTGTAGTCAGCTGTCAGTCATTTCAGACAGTGGAAGACATCACTAATGAAATGAATGATTTAAAGGTGATACCACATCCTTTAAACAGTGCTTCAAAAGTGGGAGAGGTGCATTGCCATGCAAGGTGACTGTTTTAAAGGGGATAGATAATATTCTGTGAGCTATAAATAGAGGAAGATATTCACAGATTTTGGGAACATGTCAGACTGCCCCCTCTCTTGTCATCAATTATGGGTGATCATTTCCCATTCATCAGTACATACTTTCTGTTATTGATACTAACTCCAAAGTATATGGAACTTACATTTCAATCATAAATTATTCACCAAGAGCATAAAATTTGACAAATTAAAATTACTTTTATCAATTTCACAACCATTTTTATATTGAAATAGTATCACTGTTTACTTACTTACGGTGCTGAGCCCTTCTGGAGGAGCTGCAAATTCTGCAGCTACTCAATTTCCAAGCATTTTATGGAACCTGAAGGTTCATTACCGTGTTCACAAGAGCCCTACACTGGTCCATATCCTGAGCCAGAATAATCCAATCCATACCATCCCATCCTCTCTCTCTCTCAGATCCATTTTAATATTGTCCACCCACCTACGCCTTTGTCTTCCCAGTGGTCCCTTTCCTTCTGGCTTTCCCACCAATATCCTATACACATTCCTCATCTCCCCCATTCGTGCTACATGCCCTGCCCACCTCATCCTCCTTCACTTCATCATTTTAATTATACTTGGAGAAGAGTACAAGTTATGAAGCTCCTCATTGTGCAGTTTTCTCCAACCTCCTGTCACCTCATAGTATCACTGTTTACAGACTTGCAAAACTGTGTGATATAACATACACAGTTTACAACTTCACAATGTAAATTATTATTTTAATATGTATGATAAATATTGTTGTAAACTTAATAGTTCTAATACTACCTACCTACCTACCACTCGGCGCTACAGCCCTGGGTGTGCCTTGGCCTCCTCTACAGCCAGTCTCCACGACCAATGCAGGCTGCTATAGGAATGGACCCACACATGATGACCCAAGGCTGGTTGTTACGTTTCTGAACAAAATTCTTTTTACAGGATGAGGTTGTTGGCCTCATGCTTAACCCCCAACCTGGAGGACCAGGGTCTCTCTCTTAGTCTGGACTCTATCCTTTGACCTTTCTGGCATGGGTGATCCTACCGGTAGTTAAACTACTGCTGGCATAGCTCTCCAGGTCACAGGGTCACACAAGCCCCACCACCACAACAAGGTGGAGACATCTTTGGAGGGAATAGTTCTAATAATTGGTGTAAACAACCCTTGAAGATGGTCAATTAATATAAAAATATATGTGGAAAACTGCTCAGTTTTTGTTGTTTCATAATAACTGTCACAACTGTCACCTTGAAATCAAGAGGTAAGTTGTTTAATGGTGGACATTCTGGCAGTAACTACAATGACATGGGTTCACTCCCAGGTTAGTTCATGTGGGATCTGTGGGACACATTTTCTGCAAGTACTTTGGTTTCCTGTGGCAACTGATATCAGATGCTCTGTTTCCCCCATACATTGTCTGAGTTTTGTACCAGAGGACTCTCTCACCCAACCCTGAATATAAAAAGAAAAGTCTACGCTACTGAAGAGATATCTGGCCCCTGGTTTCATTACTAGTTGGAATTATGTTACTGTTTGCTCTAGCTGTTGAGAATTTTACCGACTTTCTTTGAGATCTCTGTCTGTTCAGAATTGATGGTGACAGTTCGGGTTTGCTCTTCTGGTAGACTGGTTATTAAACTGTTCAACATGTTTGCTTATTCAGAGTTACTAACATTAACTGGAGTTCAAAACTCGACGCTTAAAGCTTAAAGCAATCCTTAGCCTACAGTATGGGTGCCAGATGAAAGTTGAAATTATTATTGTTGATGATTCATGTTGTTTGTACTGTGTGGATCTGGGAAGGGTTGCTGTCGTATTGTATATAATGTTGTCTCCGAAATGTCAACAAAACAACCCACACCCACAAGATGCAAAGATTGAAGAATGAACATCGAGATAGTAAAAAATCGTTAAATGTATACACACATCCACCGGGTGTAAAGCCTCAAAAGCTGACTCAGTACTAACTACAAGCCATTATAAGTCCTGAAGAAAACTAAGCTCGAATGATCACTACCTTCACTAACTGACACAAGGTCCAAAGCGGCTCAGAAAATTCTTCAGATTCTTCAAATTCGTTCCGTTTTAAAGGCGAGGGCACACCAAGGAAACTGGCAACAGCAATGTAACCTCAATTTCTGAGAATTGTTATCAGCCTGAGTTCAACAAATGGTACTCAATGTAGCAGCGCAAATTGAAACGGAAAGGCAGTTGTCGGAAATTGTGGCAGCGTCGCCGTTGCCAGTTTCTTTAATTCTTTAATTCTTTAATGCTTTAATGTGCCCTTTCCCTAAGAGTTCCGGAAGTTCACTACGTGGCAGTACAATCAACGATAGGTTGTCCTACCATCTGTTGGGACTTTGTGGAAATATTTGAAGTACGTTCTTATCGCTTCTGATCGTTCTCATATCTTACGATTGCTTTGGCTCGTCTGTCGGTATAAATGAAATATAGGCAGTACGGCTGTAATTTTAGAGTTTGCCAGAACTGACTAACTTGTAATTTGATTAATGAAATGGAAATTTGGCTGTAATAACGTACGTAATGTACAGAGATGTGAAACAAGTTCATGAATTCATGAATTAGGACACAGTTCCTCGCTTCATCGCTAGGGGAGCGAGGGGTGATGGAAACTCGCCGGCTTTCGGCAAAGGAAAGGACGGTAACCGCATTACATGTAAACAGTTAGGTGGCGGAGGTGGTTGGGTTGGTTAATACTCGTTCATTTTTATTTGAAATGAGCGATCATGGTTGCATACATCTGAATAATTTTAAAGCTGCAAAAGGGATACAGCCGTACCGAATAATTCACGCATATTTTGTTGCGTGTACAACAGCTGAGGCTCGAAGTAGAAAGGTGTGTGTCCGTCTTGAACTTGGCCATTTAACATTTATCGCTGTCATTTGGACAGTAGAATGCAATGAAATTAATATCAGTAATAGTTTGTTATGTTCATATAGGTAGTCGCTTTGAAAATGGTGAGTATGACTGGTACTTCTCAATACTTTGGCTCACTGGACCGAACGTCGCAGTAGAATTGTTTGCGCTCATGGAAGTCCTGGGTTCAGGCTTCGACCCCTAGAAATGCTGTCATGGCCAAGATTTATCGTGGTTTATCTCAGTCCCTACAAGCGAATGACGGCAATAATACCTCAAATTTAGCCACGATCTCTCTCTCCAAATCCCTTCCAATTCGCTATTCAGTAATCCAGTGACATGTAATCTGAACTTTTGACATCATCATTAAATAAATCGTAAATAAAGCAAATTATTAACGGAATTTGAATGTCTTTCTAAAACCAAGTTTTGCTTGTGTATTCATGTGTTTCAGTGATACTAGTATTACTTTTGTTTCAGGCCTTTGCGTGTTTTTGTCACATATGCAACAGTATTGGATCACGCCTACACTCATGTCTCCACTGCATTTTTTTCGGCTGTTATGTTGGTGGACATATTCAAGAGCATGCCAAACTCAAGAAACACTTCTTAGGTATGGACAGACAAAAGTAAAATTCTGTTATTTGATTAGTTATTATGCTTGATACAGATTTTGATTCTCACCATACTGGAGCACACTTACCAGGCCACATTTCAACTATTTCTTGTTAGACCCAATTTATTTGAAGTGATAACATTTGTTATTTGAACCTTTTGCTTATACAATACCCATATATACTCATACTGAATGTCATGGTCAAGTGGTAGTAATCCTTTATATTCTTGAAGTTCAGGGATGAAGTCTTGGCCTGGAGACTGACTGGCATGATGGAGGTTTTTATAACGCAAAGTTCTCATATTTAAGGACTGATGAATTAATGTTCTTAAAAGAATGACATTGCGGGCACATGGTAGTGTAGTTGGTTGAAGTGCTATGCTACAAACCGGAATGTTTCAGGTTCAAGTCTTGATGAGGTCATTGGATTTTTTTCAGTTGACCTAATCCTTCCAGCCACACTGTGGCCCCGGGGTCGACTCAGGCTCTAACAGAAATTAAATAATTTTCCTGGGGAGTAAAGCGTGGCCAGCGCGTAAGGCTGACAACCTTACCGCCATCTGTGAGCTGATTGTCTAGATAATGTGGGACCCTCAGCATCTCACAACCCTATGGGCCTTCACAGCCTGGTACAGGGATAGCTTTACTTTTTACTTTTTTAAAAGACTGAAATTCATGCTTCATATCTATAAACCTTGAAGTATGGAACATACATACAAATTTCAAACATTGTATTCTTTGAAGAGTTTAATCTTCTGGGATATAATACCATGTAGTCAGGTGAAAGTTAGGCGATGTTTGAGAGGAACATATCACCTCCATCTTTAGGGTTGAAGAGTAAGCAAAGTAAGGAATCGCTGTGAAGCAAGTACTGAGCAGAGCCTGCAAAAGGTAATCCAAACAAGAAATGGACAAGAAGGAGGCAGGATTCGGAGTGTGATATCCTCTTCATGCTGGTTTCTTGCTTGACGTACCCTTCAATGCTGAGGGGGTAATAAATCCTCCAAAACACTGATTGTCTTTCACTGGACTACACAGTGTTATGAACCAGAAGATAGAAGTCTTCATATCCATCATTGTGAGAACCTCAATTCCAACACTGTATTCTTCATCTTACAATTTGCCTTTGTTTTATCTCGATGCATTTTTTTATCAGACAGTTAAATGTGTGTAAAGAACATTTTCCTTTTCAGCTGTCGACCTTGCATATGGAGCAGTATTGTGCTTCCAGTGTGGTGATTATGTATATGACCAAGAACTGGTAGCAGTAGCACATGAACATCGACTGAAGGCAGCAAAGTCACTTGGCATGCCAGTTGTCTATCAATTTTGGGAACCAAGTCATCGTGAAATAGAACTCCTTCGAAGAAATCCACGCAGAAGGAAACTAATTGAAAATACTACAATAGGTGAGATGGGTATGAGATCTTAAGTTTCATGGTGACTGAATAAATTTCCTCAACCAATTGTGTGAAATGTTTTTATAGGAGCTGTGATGTGGTCAAGTGTTTAGCATCCTCTTCTGGTGTTCAGAGTTGCTCTGGTTTTATCCCAGCTGTTGTCACTAATATTAAAATATAAAGTAATATATTATATAACAGTGACAACCAGTGACCCAGTTCAGAAAACATGCATATTAAATTGCCTAAGAAATCAGACAGTATCAAACTTGTTATCTGTGCCAAATCCTAATTAAATAATTAGTAGAATTTTAATGTTCAGTGCTGCAAATACTGTGCTAATACTGTGTAAAACTTGGTCTCCGATATTAAGGGAAGAAAACAGACTGTGGGTAATTGTGAGCAGGGTGCTGAGGAGAATATTTGGACTGAAGAGAGATAAAACAATAGGAGGTCTGAGATAGTTGCATAATGAGGAGCTTCATAACCCCTACTTTTCACTAAATACAATTAGAATGATCAAGTCATGAGGATGAGATGGGCAGGGCATAGGAAAGGAGTTATGGTAGGAAAGTCTAAAGGAAAGAACTACTAGGAAGATTTAGTTATAGCTGGGGGCATGCTGTTAAAATAGAGAAATAGGATGGGGCGTATGTGAACTGAATTCATCTGGCTGAAATTAGGGATACATGGTGGCCTCTTGTGAACACAGTAATGATGCTTTGGGTTCTGTAACATGTGGGGTATATCTTAAGTGTCTGAATGACTATTGGCCTCTCAAAAAGCAGTTAGCTCCATGGTGTTAGTTATGCAATTTATTCTTTTGAGATGCATTTTCAGTGTACATCAACATTTTGAAAATCTCTTAATACTGATCATTGTTGCATACTGAACTTATACATTCTTCACATTTACTGTATTGTGCACTTAATTTGTTTAGCATTTGATGAATTTCGCACAGATTATGGTGTGCAGGTTTAGGGAACTTTTGACATGAGCATAGCACAGTTTTTTGGTACTGTCGGGAAATTCTAGAATTGGTTTTCATCTTATTGCTGGCACATGTTCATTCTTATGTGACTTGGAAGTTGCCTTTAAAACACATTCGTCCTTTGGTATTAATGCATAATTTTTTTTAGGTCTCCGTGGTCTTCTTAATTTAGGAAACACATGCTTCATGAATTGCATCGTACAGGCTCTCATTCATACGCCACTTCTTCGAGATTTCTTCCTTGCTGACCGTCATCTGTGTCAGTTTCAAGATGAACCTGGCCGCTGCCTTGTGTGTGAAGTGTCCAGACTCTTCCAGGAAGTACGTTAATAATATTTAAAATATGTACTGAATAAGCATTTGCACCTAAAATTACCATGAAAGTTGGTGTAAAGGTAATTCTTTGGATGTGCATTTAGGAACTATGGGGTTTGAGTTTCAGCCAGATTATTGATTATCCAGAGTTGGGTATTTCATGATTTTTCTCTTTTCAGATGAATGTTATAGTACCATCAAATGCTGACATACAATTTATGATTCTTCCACCTCACTGAGTGCTCTATAATTCCTATAGTTAGAGCATCATCTTAATATAATTTAAGAATAATACATCAACCATTTATAAATGCTAATTTCTCTAAAAATCATATACTACTACCTTTACAAAATTCTGTCTCAACAGAAAAATAAAGCAGTTTTATCTGTGAGAATTACAGATGCTGTCCTTTCAATGGTAAATATTTTCTTCACATGCTTTCAACCCTTTATTGATTTATTTTAATGCTTATACCAAAGAGACGAGTGTCACACAAAATTGTTCATTGACACTTCCAACATATTGATGGACTTTTTAAGAATGTTAAGAAATGTTTTGTCAGTAGGTTACCTTTATATTGTGACGTACCTATCACGTAACTGTTTTCTGTGTTGTCCGTGCCGAGGCTAAATAAGGAGCAGCGAACACTATTCAGTGAGTGAGGATTGAGCCAGTTACGAGTGAGTATTGAGTGAGTTACTAGAGATTAACGAGTCAGTTGCAGTCTAGCATTCGCTGGAGTGTATGGAAACAGGAGACGTATTTGTGATACTGCCCATGGCAGTAATTGTGAGAGTGAGTGGAATAAATTCACTATACCCAATATGGCGTGAAGTTATTTGTCACATGACATACACCCAACACGTGACAATATTTTTCTCACCCACTTCAGCCACGTGCTGGTATCTTAAGTAGGCACACCTAAATGCACTAACTAACTTCTAGAGAAGCTGATTGTCACTCAGGTAGTCAATAAGTTCTCTGCCGAATTCATGATTCTATTTTCCAACACTCAGAGAAGTGCCACTAAATAAATCCAGATTTAAGTGCTGTTTAATCAGTGAAACCCGACCTTAAATAAATCTAATTTCTGAGCATAATTGCATGGTTTGTGTGTTACAGTTCTATTCTGGTAATAAGGCCCCATTAACGCTGCATCGCCTGCTTCATCTCATTTGGACACATGCGCGTCACCTGGCAGGCTATGAACAGCAAGATGCGCATGAATTCTTCATTGCTGCATTAGATGTGATGCACCGCCACTGTAAAGAATCCAGCCCCCTTCCAACTACAAATCCACACCATTGTAATTGCATTATTGACCAGATCTTCACTGGAGGACTCCAGTCTGATGTTGTATGCCAAGCTTGCAAGTGAGTATTTCAGGACAGTCACGTGGTTGAATTTTAATGCCTTGCATATCAGGTAGTTTTTTACAAAGAATATGCAGCTGTTTTAACCCTTCAGTTATGCAGGAGATTTAATTCCTACTCACTCCTTGGGACGGAAGATATTTAAACATTTAAAACAGTAAATGCAACATTTCACTTAAAGTATAATAATTAGGGAAAAACTGGAGTTTTGTTTTTCTAATTTTCATATTACATTCAGAAATGTTTATAGAATCAGTGTATTCATCCACACTGCTTTCATATTATTTTTAGGCACAGTAAGCCTATAAAAATTAGGAATAAAATTCAGCTCAGTGTATTAGTCATGAAAGCATTCTATACAGAGTCCTATGTCACATGTGTCACCCCAATACGCAGTTTTTGACACACAAGACACTGTTTCTATGATCTTGATTTTTTGCAGTTGCTGAAATCTTGCTAATAAAATTTCTTTCTCTTAAATGGGGCACTATTTTGTCTGACAAATATCAACCCGCCACTTTGCGTTCTACAGCATTAGCAAATTTCACAAAGAGTCCCTCAGTTCACCAAATTCTGATTGACAATCGATCTGTTCTTTTCCTCGAGTTATTCCTCTATGTTATCATTGCGTTCAGAAATTTTCCTTTTCTCCCTTACAGTTTTGCATATTCTTCCAGTGTACGTTCACAGTTTTCTTGATTCTGCCATTTACCACAGAAGTGAGAAGAGCACAAATGTCCATTTTCGGTATCAATTTCCGAATCTGATAAAACTTTGTTCTGATTCACTTTGAAGTAAATATATTGTGACGTGTTGTACCAAGGTCAACACCTTCCCCCATCCCCAGCGGTGACGTAGCAGGTGAGTCAGCGCTCTCCCCCCCTCCTCCCCACACTGTGATGCGGCACTGCTTCCTGCTTGTCATGACGCAACACAACTGGCCGCTTCGCTGCTCATGGCTGGCCTTAGCTGCTAAAACCAGACTGTGTGATGTGTATTTATAGAACAAAGGAGAATTCATAATATTCATGTAGAGGACTCTTTACTGTTTGCTACATACTGGTTATAACACAATTCTTAGAGTCAACATCACATCTCAAAGTCCTACATTCCCCATGTGGTTTCTTGTTGTTACAAATTCCAATCTAGAAGCAGCACTGGTCAGAATATGCCTAAAGAGATTCAACTTTTCATTCGATCAACATTCAGGACAGCACAGAGTATAAGCCTAACATACAGTAAAACTTGGTTATAGCAACATCGGTTTCTGTGACACCTTGTCTATTGCATACAATATTCAATGGTACGAACTTATTCCTCATAAAGCAACTGTTTTTATACCTTGCTTAGTACGACATGCACAAATGCATCAACCTCGTATGTAACGTCATTTTCATTCCTGAATTTCTCTGATATCGTGGGAAAGTTCAATGTGTCTGTCCACCCTCACTTTCTCTACTTGCTGACGTGACTGTCCTGGAAGAATACGACCGCGGGCTGCAAGAGGAGCGTGGGTTTTATGCGAAAACAAGGGTGTGGGGTGGGACTGCGTGAATAGTGCAAGAGGACGCGGCAGGTTGTTAACTGCATTCCTTTCCTAGAATCTCGTCTAACAGGACCTCACATTGTCTACTTACCCTATAGTGTTCCTGCCTAAACCCAGAGAAGTGCAGTAGCGTAAACATGGCAATGAAAAGGAAAGTTTTAAGCATTGAAGAGAAAGTTAAAGTGATTCGTGAAATATTGTGTGTATTGTCAGTGAAAAGCGCTGTAATATGTCTTTGATAGTACACATTTGGGAAATTCCACGTTAATGTTATGTTAGTCTGTACTTAACTACGTATTTCACTAAAAAATGCAACATTTTAACTCGGTTTTTGGTAGATTTTTACGTGACTAACATAAGACTACTGTGGAAGTGCCCATTTCGGTTACAACGACATTCGTTTATAACGACACTATTTTTAGGTCCCTTTGATGACGTTATAACCAAGTTCTACTGTATTTAGTTCATAAGAATTTCCTAAGGTGGAGACAGGTTTGTATCATAATAAGCGCACCAACTGGTAAAGTAGAAAAACTTTTCAAATAATTCAAATGTATTACAACGGCCACGGGAAGTTCAAAGTGGGACAACATATTTATAAAATGATAGCCTACAATTTCCTCTTTAATCTCATACCAAAATAATTACTTTATGTGAAAAATAACAGTTCAAAGTGCAAGCTGAACCTTACCGCTGCACTACACCTGCTGTGTATGTTGGATGGCAACATGACAGAAACTGCTGGCATGCCATGTACAGACTACAGCATTTAAGTGTTAAAAAGAATTATACTGTGACTTTTCATTATGCCTTTAATTTGGTGGCAGTATTCTATTAAGATTGGAGCTCCAACAGATACATTAAATTTTGTAAAAAGAGATTACAGTGAAACAACCTCATGATCAGTGTCTGTTTAATTAATTTTAAGAAATGTAATTCTCGTGGCTCACAAATTTAAATGCATATTCATGTCATCTTTAAATGGTTAAATATGTTATCACATGTTAGTGACTAGACACGAGATTTGGATCGGTAGTTGGGTTTATTGAATGCTTATAACTTATAACTACAGTTATCTATAAGAGTGTCACTGATCTACCCTCTCTGTGAATAACTCCTGCAAACACTAAGTCTTCTGTGTGTTCCCCAGTCCTTGCATGGTAGCGAGACTTTAACTCATGACTCACTACTAACTGTTGACTTAGGCCGCGCCATAGCTCAAGTGGTTAGTCACTGGCTTCCTACCATGGTGGCCCGGGTTCGATCCCGGTTCTGGTCAAGTGGGATTGTGGTGGACAAAGTGGCGCTGGGGCGGGGTTT